ACTGTTAACCAGTACTCACACTTAATTGGTTTTCATTCGGTGGTAACTATTACAAACAAACTAATAACGTGGCTATGGGTATTAAAATGGGACCCAGCTACGCCAATCTTTTCGCAGGTTATATCGAAAATCAATTTTTTAGTCAATACCACAGCCCAAAACCTGAACTCTACGGCCGTTACATTGACGATTGTATCGGCACTACCTCCTCTACCAGAGAGGAGCTCACTAAATTTACAACCGCCGTCAATTCCTTTTATCCGGCTCTTATAAATATACCTGGGAAATTTCCGACACTTCTTTGGCTTTTCTAGACATCAAAATTCCAGTTGAAGGCAACGGTTTATGCACTAGTGTTTAGTTGCTCGTTGTATTCATCTTCACATCCATCACACGTCAAGAACTCCATACCTTTATCACAGTTTCTCAGACCTCGTCGTTTATGCGGTGACGACTCTGATTTTTCCGAAAAATCAGAGGCAATATGCCAGTTTCTCGATAAACGTGGCTATCCTGTTTCTGTCGTTCAAGTGGGTCACCACCGTGCCCAACAAATGGATCGACAGTCAGCATTACAAACAGCTGAGAAGGAAAACACTGACAACATTCCATTTACTCTCACATTTCACCCTCACAACCACGCAGTTTAATCTATCATTCTTAAAAATTTTAAATTACTCCAAAACGATTTAGAGACTGGCACTATCTTTCCGCAACCCCCACTTATTTCATTCAAACGCGACAAAAACATTGGCAACTTTTTAGTCAGGAGTTTATTTAAAACCAGTGACCAATCTGGAACTTTCAAATGCGCTCGCTCACGATGAAAAATTGAAGTCTCGATAAAAACATTTTCAGGTGTTACATTAATTCTAATGAATAAAAGAGGTAATTGCTAGCCAAGAATAACAACAATGTGAAAAACACGTTAATCAAACCGAGATCACAGGCTTCACGATACTTTAGCGTAGCTCCAAATAAAATCTTTCAGACTAACAACTCATTCCACCGCTATAGCAGCATATAACATTTCCTGTTTCTACATGGTTTGCCAGCTGTTTGCTTTATAAGCCGATTATATGTCATTTTTTGTGTAATTTGGTTTTTCCTGTATAATAATTTCGCTATTCCTATTATATTTTTTGCGTTCGAGAGAACGTTTACTCTCCGTGTGGCTTCTTTCTGGATGCTGTGCAATTTCATGGATTGGGTGCTATCTCAGTGGACTGGCTGACCACTAACCTCGATTTCATGCGAAAGCTTTGAATCCTGCGTGCTGGCTAGATGAAGCCCTTGCCATCTGGATGCCATATACGATATGTAGACGAATTGTTACCAGTTGACCATTCGAAATGACCACTGAATCGGACCATTCGAAATGATAATAGATCGGAACTGCGCGCCACGCAACCATCAGATATTCGTAGGTTTGAACACACCGCTAGATCGATGGTTCTTTAGTAGTCAATGATTATTACTAGGTGTTATTGGCATCCTTTCCATTTAAGGTAACATTTTTTTCCTTTCCTATCCTGCAGTTGTTCAAAGCAGCTGGGCAATGGCAGAACGAAGTAAGTTCCTTGCTATCTGCTAGCTTGAGCAAAGTAAAAAAAATATGAATGAATAAGATAAATCTCAAGTGGGTTAGTGGACTGTTAACTGGTCAATTCATTCCACTTTGTCCAATAGCTAAGTGTTCATTTACTTTATTTCGCTGCAATGTTTAATTTCCTGCAGATCATGAGTGTGCAACTGCTCCGTTCTTGAAGCAGAGTGAATGTACTGGTTCCAACTGCATAGGACTTCTTAGGAGTAGATGGCACAGGATAAAATGCTTTCCGTTCTCCACCAGCGGTAGCAAAGGGTTATGCTCTAATTGGTGCCATGAAGGAGGGACATCGACTCAGCCTTGCTTTAATGCATTTCATAAATTTTCTTCAGATCAAATCTATTTCAACAACAGCGACGAAAAACTCAAATTTGAAGTAGTACACTGCAGATCTTTCGAGTTTAAAATCAGGTTAAAATCGATGGATCACAGTAAGTATTTTACTACACTTTTTCTGTTTGATCCTTTCTACTTTGTTGTTTTATTTCTTCTTCTTTTTCTTCTTCTTGTTATTATTATTATTGTTATCTTTATTATTATAATTGTTGTCATCATGATTATTATTACTATTACTATTATAATTTTTTTTGAGATCATAACTCTTCTATGATTTTTTCAAATTGGGATGCTAAGGGAAGAGAAAGCCAAAAAAACAATTCCAGGCCTTAATTCCGTTCACCTTTAGCATAACTATAACTGTTTAGCGATGCCAGTTATGAACCGTGTTTTTGCAACACCTTATCAGTCAGAAAAGACAGGAAGACTGCAAACTTATGGTAGGCGTTAAATTTTGCTTACAATATTGGCTTTTGCCCAGTGTCTATTATAATGCTTATATGAACCGGAAATTTTTTATCCTGGATGTTCTCTAGGAACTAAGGGATGTCCAAACCATCATGGCATCCAGTGATGATCACATGCGACACGTCTGTTTTCAACTGTTTATTAAATCGATGTTAATCTTGTACATCCTGCGCTAAAGTATATTCAAAACCTCACATCTGTAAGCTGCTCAGAATTCTACAGCCAAACAGTGTAATTTTCAATTGAGTAGACGTAGTCAAACCCCTTTAAAATTCCTAATATAAAGTACGAATACCACTTAGCGTCAGTCCTTTTGCTTGATATAATTTTGATTCTATGCTTTTTATCGCCTTAGCTTTTATTGCAAACACAACTGAAGAAATTCCACCACCCATCAATTTAACCATCAAGTATGCAAAACAGCTGTTTAGAACTTCAATCCAAAGCATTTGGTCCGACGATTCACGCACATATTCATCAAAGGATAAAAAACTGGAGGATACTGTCTTTACTGCGTACATCTTTGAAGAAATTATATTAAGAACTGCCAGAAAGCGGCTGCACGTTACAAATCCCGAATTCATTGATGTCGATGAAGATCTGAGTAAGTGCAAAATAGTCTTCCCTCTTTTTTTCCGAAATGAGCTTCATCATGTACGAGTTCAGGCAAGCGATACTTGTACGGTAAGAGCCAGCACCACTATCCTTTACATCAGCTAAAAAGAAGGAAAATTCTGATATTTCTTCGTCTGCAGTATCAGAAGCATGAACTGTGGCTTGCAATTCTATAATCTGGGAATGACTGCACGCAAAATCATAAGTTGGGGGAAATGCAACTGAATAAATTCTAGTCATGCGGGTCATTGCACGTACTGAGCACTCACATGTCGTTGTACTCTGTAGGCAAGTGAAATATATGTTGACGCTGGAGCATTCGCATCCCATATTTTTCTTTTTTATCAATATAGACTTTCGAGTTAGAAGCAATGCCCTCCAGAGAGGAGATGACTTTCTGTTTAATGGAAGCAGTCGGGGGAACTTTATTAAGATTCCCTTAGCTAATCCGGATAGAGGTAAAAACCCTTCCTTGTTTTTAGTCAGTTTATTTCAAGGCAATTTCCCATAATTTCTTGGTCAACTCCTCAGTGGAGATGGCATCATTCCGACGTGCAATACCAGATTTGCAATATGCACTAGTGTGCACTTAATACAGTGAGTTCTTGTTTTCTTTTTCCCTTTTTCCCTCCATCTTAATCCAAATCGGTTTCTGTTTTGCAATTTCGCAAGGCTCTTTCTTTTCCTTTCTTTTCTCTTTTTTGAATACGAAGAAACTTTATCCTTTTTGAAAAATTTTGAATAATGCACTTTTTCATGATTCAGCTGTCTGTAATGACATTGGTGCCCAGAGCATAGGCCAAGGTCGTTTTTCAAAAAAAATTACATCTTTGGAAACCGAAATGAATACATTTCTCCCCTCCCTTTTAAACAGATTCCACAGTACTTGGGATCGAATACAACAAACTTTCTGAGCATTTATTAAACTATTCAGATGATACCGAGAGAGACAACAAAACAAAGTATGTATATTTTATTTTGATAACTGTAAATGGAATAGTGAAAAGCATTTTACTGTTTTTTGATCATTCAATCTGTTTTATTTCAGGATACTGGACAGCGTAATTATGTCCGCCGTAATAGACCCTCCGCCCAAGGTTCTACCGGAAAACGTCACATTGATTTTTAAGAACATGCAGGTATATACGCTACTCTTTTGTTATGTTTACTCTTTTTTTAATTGAATCGGCGTTTTCTTGTTTGTTTGGTTTTTTTTTTGTTTGTTTCATGAAAGGGAAACACCAATAGTCCATTCATTCCTTATTTGGGTGACTATGTTGTCATCTTTTTCCTCAGTTGAAACTAAGTTTAGATGACTGGCTCATAATTAGAAAACTGCTCGAGACTTGATTTATAAATGAGCTTTACATCCCATAAGGCTTCCTGCAATTTTTTAAATTTCGTCAACCTAAAGCCACTACAGAGGGGGGGGAGGGGACTATCAGACACTGGCAGCCCTCCTCGATTTTACATCGAAGACTTGAGGAATTCGAATTGAAAAACAAATTAACAAATTCTTTTTTGCTGAATAACAAATTTAGACCTCATTAATGGAGTGGTCCCAGAGACCTTAATATTTAGAATTACCTTTTAACTTGAGGGTAACATTAATATTCTATCTCTATGACGCCTCACCAGGCAGCTACTAGTAAGGAATCACTGAGGCGAGCGCTGAAGCCTCGCTATATTAATCTTTCAATCACAACACTTGATTTTTTTTCCCTTAGGTGAATCGCAAAAAAAGAACATGTGTATTCTGGAGCTTCTCAGAAGAAAAGTAAGCATCACAGTAACATAAATTATAAACAGCGTGAATTCTTCCGGTTTTTTATCTGAAAGGAAGCGAAAAGTATCAGAAATCACTTTAAAGCAATTAGTAGAGTGAATTGAATTCTTTTCAGGTGGAGGGGGGAGGGGGTTTCCATTCGAATGAGTTGTTTTAACTCCTTTCTCCTTGTCTTATTCTTCTTAAAGCTTTGGGAGTTGGTCAAGTGAAGGATGTCAAACAAAGATGATATCGGATCACCATACTGAATGTGTTTGCAATCATCTAACCCACTTCGCTGTGCTCATGGAATTCACCGACAATGCTGACGAAGGAAAGGTGAATATTTTTTTCTCCTCTACAAAAAAAAGTCATACTGATTTAAAAAGGTACACAGTGGCATTAAAACTATCGCATTTATTTCTATTTATTTTTATTTATTAATAAAAATATTTCCTTTGATACAGATAAAATAATTATGACCTTTACAGTTTTTCAATCAGGATAAAACTCGTTCGTCAGGTGAGCATGACAAAATACTGACATTCGTCACTCGAGTAGGGATGGCTTTATCGCTCACTGGAGTCATACTCACAATTATCAGCTATCTTCAGCTCACGTAAGTACGCTAAATTAACACCGATATCTTACTGAATTGTGGAAAATTAACTATAAGGAAAACGAGTCATCAGATCAGTTCTGGATCGATGTCAGCACAGACCGCTTGTAACTGAAAACGAAATCAAACGTTCTGAGATGATCTTTCTAATTTAATATAATTTATTTAGCTTCGCCTAATTATCTTAGGCGGGGAGACCACTACAGCTTTAGCCAATTACAGTGGACCCCGCGTTAACAATGACAAGGCCAGACCCCCCAATTCCCAGTAAACAGGCCAGACCGCATCACAGTAATCTCGTGAGTGGGTTCTTTAACGTCCCCTGCAAAACCAAATTGACTAATTAATAGAAGCAGGAGACAGGACCTACCGTTTATTCATTCTTATCCGAGAAGACTAGAATGTCTATCCATCTCTTGACATTATAGAATGGTAGCACATTCTCCTCAGTTATTTTAAGACCTTGAGAGTTGGTCCGGCCGGGGACCATTTTCTTAAAAAATGATATCTCACCAAGGAGTGAAATAGCTTCAAATTAACGCTAGTGTATAATAGAAACTGTCCAGTCAGTATTCTTTTATCCATTCGTTATTCAACAATTAATTCATGTAAAAAATGTACTCTGTCAGCGGATTTATTCATTCATTTGGTGGATCATTTGCAATTGTCTTTTTGATGTTTTTTTTACAATTCATTGACCTCAGTTCTGTTTTTGTCTGACTGCTAAATCAATTTCATTTAGTTGCTGTTTATTGGCTTGTTTGTAGAGACAGAAATTCACCTTTGTGTCACATACGGGTTAGTCTGACTTCCTGCATTGGAGCAGGACATATCATCTTTTTCGCTGGAATCGACTCCACTGCAAACCAGGTGACTTTTTGTACTCCTACTTTCGTTGTTACTGTTCTTGTGCTTGTTTGTTTGTTTGTTTTTTGGTTTGTATGCTTGTTTTTTTAATTTCGTCCAGCTTCCTAACGATTTAAAGACTCACTGATCTATCGAGTGATTCTTTTCTCTCTTTTTTTTGTTTGTTTGTTTTTTGTATGTTTTCTATATTGTAGTTTTGCCTTGGTCTCTCTGTTTACGTTGGTTTTTGTTTCTTTCTGTTTTTCTGGATTATTATTTCGGCAAATGCCACTTGTCGGGCAAATTATTACATTTTTACCAATTACCTATTCCTTGCAGGCTGCTTGTGTAGCTGTGGCAGCTCTTATGCAGTATTTCCTGATGGCCAGTTTTTGCTGGATGATTGTCGAGGGGATTTATATCTACTTATTTGTTGTAAAGGTTTACAACATTAGCGATAAAATGCATCGTTATCATGGCTTTTGCTGGGGTGAGGAGCATCGTCAAGAAATGGGAAAAATGGGATAAGACTTGAGGAAATACTTGAGGAAATATCTCGATTCTCATTTGGCAAAAATTAAACCGAACAAAAATATCTTAAAATGACTTTATTTTTTAATTCTTTAAATGAACACGCGCTTTTTTTGGAAACCGTTGGATCGTCTTCAGGTGTACCTGAGTTAATCCTAAGATATTTCTAGTGCTCATTAGAGCTAGTTATAGTTGCAGATATAGTTGGCTGAAATCACGCAGCTATGTCTAATTTGCGGTGTTTTAGTAATTTCATACCCGCAACCAAAAGGTTTCAAGAGTTAACAACATAAAAAACCCCATTGAATATTCATATAATCGCGTAACAACTTACGGTCAGTGGTATATTAATACCATTAACTTCTACAGTTATCAGCTCTGGCAAATGTAATAACGCTATAACTCGATTATTTTCGCTGCAATGTCTTACTTAAACTGGCAGCCTTTCATCATTACTTTCCTCAGGACTGCCTGCAATCATAGTTGCTGTATCTATGGTAATCGCTGCAGGAAATGAAGGAATCGAAACTTTTGTCAATGATGAAAAGTAAGTTTGAAAGTTTGTTTATTTTATTGACTGTATACAAAGTGGTCGAAGCCCAGGGAATGCAAGGACTTAATAACAGAAACCTGCAGCCTCAATAACTGACCTCCCCCCCTCCCACACACCCACTAGGCACCCCCTCATTTCAAGTTGTGGATCTCTCCATGTATAAGAGTAGGAGAGGGAGAGTTTCTAAACCATTATCCAAGATAGCGTCTTTTCGTAATTTTGCAGAGTCATATAAAGGCAACATGCTGCACTAAAAATGGATTTTGATTTGACATTCTGTTAAGAAAAGCCTTTAAATGCTGCCATTAATGTAGAAAAAATATATTAAAAGTCTGTTTGTGCCTTTTATTTTTCTAATTCTAAGCTGCTGGATGTCCTCCTCTAACGATGTCATCTGGATATTTGTTTCCTTTGTTGGATTCGTCTCAATCGTAAGTGGCAACAGTTTGAATTTCTTTAATGGATATGAGTTTAATCATCTAAAGATATTTGTTTCAAAGTTGATTATAACAGCATCTCGACAATCATTTCTGTTCTTCTTCTTCTGAAAAGGAATGAGTCTGTGACTCTGAAAGTCTTCTTTGAAAAATTACAACATAAGCTAGTGTAACAAAAGTATCCGATATTTCAGTTTTTCTCTTTTCATATCCTCCATCTTCTTTTGTTTTCCCTTTTAATCCCTGAAGATTAACATGACGATCCTCGTGCGAGTTATAAAGGAAGTAACAACAATCCAACAGGTGAAGGATAGCCCGACTGAGCAGATCAGGTGGGCTAATAATAGTTACTTTTCCCGCCTCTCGAATGCTTCCAATCAACAAACAATCTCGCATCATAGCTTGTTACAGAGAAAAACTGGCCTGGAATTGATGGGCTTTGAATGACGCCCTAGCACATAAAATATAGTGCGTTTTCGATGGACGACCTTCAAACTGCTTCTTTTTTCACTCCCGAGAATATATCGCGACTATTCATTGCCTTCAATTTAAGCTAAGAGTTTTCAATTTTTCTTTATATCGATTTCAGATAAATGCTTTTGTTTTCCAAGTGACTATTCATTTGGTCTCTTACAGGCTTGGTGTCCGTGCATGCGTGGTGTTAGCTCCATTGCTGGGTGTCACGTGGCTGATTGGCTTCCTTGTGCCGTTACACATCGCCTTCTCCTACATTTTTGTAATCCTTAATTCCACTCAGGTAAAGTCATCTAAAACCTTAAGGGTTTGTTCAAGCATTTGGCTGCTCATGGGTAGATATAAGAACGTACGTATAACGTGAAAAGCGTCAGGAATACTGAAAAGCGTCTCCATATCCAAGAATAATTCAGATTTACTTTCACATACCAGATCCGTGACCCTCGTAAAGAAGCCGACTGGAGACCATTTAAACCTTCCTTTTGCACTTGCATTTTCATCTTCAAAGCCTTAGCTCGGCTTAATTATGATACTGGAGTCACCATGAATCGATTACATCTAACGGATAGAATTGTATTCGGGAAAATAAGCCTCAGATAAGTAAACGATCATAGCTGATAAGGAAAGGAGACCTTCAGCTGAGTTGTTCTAAAAGACACAACCCTACATTCACGACAAAAAAAAAACAAAGACAAAACAAAAATTTTTAAAAAAAGTGGAAAGCTTCTCTTATTTCTGCATCTATTTGCTCGTTTGTTTACCTATTAACCAATGAAGTTATATCTATATTTTTTAAAAGGGATTATTCATTTTCTTCTTTCACTGCTTGGGAAATAGTGAGGTAAATATGAATTTTGAGTCCCCGTAATTCATATCAAGAAAAGCTGGTTACATATAATGAGTGCCTGTTATTTGACTTCTAATTCTTATCTAGATAAGGGGGCGTTTCAAAAGAAGTGTCCAAAAAATCCACCCAAGTGCATTTAATCAAAGGCCAGGTGACAATAGAGGAAACTGTCAAGCCCGTCAGAGTCACAGTGATGCTGAGATTCCTGTGCAGGATCAAGAGTAATCAATAGACTTTGAACTTTTGTCTTGCCAATGGAATGGGAAAATACTAAATGCATTTATAGCCAGCATCACTTCTGTTGCTTAGGCTTTAGCTGATTCAAGTTAATTCAAGTTGTATTTATGCTTTTTTTGAGTAATTTTCTTAGCCCCAGGCTTAGCTAGGTTGATAATATTTAGCCACACTTACCTGGCATCGTTGGCATTATATGGAATAATTATTTGCATTAAAATCAAATTGCCCGAGAATACCAGTTTATATACTGATTACGAGTTTGATATACTGATTAATCATTTAACCGGTAATCAGGTCTGAACCGTAGAAATCAATTTTGCTGCAATTAACATTTGTTAAGTATACAAATAAAGTTCGTAGTATATAACAGTTAACTGTATAATGAAGACTTTACTAAACTACAACATACCTAAGGACCGATTATCGTTTATCGTTAGGGAAAGGAGGGGCTTGGGTTAAGGGAGGGGGGGGGTGTGTTGGATGCGTCACTTTAAGATTGTGTCCCTATAAGATTTATCTAAGGCTCGATAGCCTGCGTGTAGCCGTACCCTCCCCTGATGGTAAAACGGAATGGACGGAACTAAAATCTGACACTAATCGTGTTCCACGACGTCACTCTAATTTATGGAAAAAAAATGTCTCTTCATAATGTTTTTTTTGTGAAGTGACACGTATTGGCGAGGTTATCGAGATCAACAATAACATTTAAGTGAATTCATTCTCCATTTGCGGGTAAATTTGCAATTCAGCGTCCGAGCTCAACTGTATACTTTGGAGTAAAAAGAGGACGATGTTCAATTGGCATCGCGCTAACCAAACTGGATTTCAACGTTCTGCTTGAATTCGTAAACAGTGCCACGGTCGTCGAAAAGAGTTGGATCATTTGTCACAGAATCTCAAGGATTTCATGGATTTCTATAAGAGATAGTTACGCTGCAAGCGTGAAGAAAGAGCGACTATTTTCTCAGTCCAAAGAATCGCTGCAAGGGACAACTAGTTTTAATTTAGCTTCGCAGCACCGTTCGCAAAAACACCGAAAGTTGAAGGTGCACACTTGCCTTAAAACCTTGTCGTAAATCGTAAAACATTTAGTTCATCTTCTTCTTCGTTAATATGAAAATAAATTACCAACTCGAACCAATCAGAATTGACGAAAGAATCAGCAAAAGGGATTTACCAATTAAAAGTCATGATATATTTTCTTACAAAAGAGGGACGTCACGGAACAGGATTAGTGCCAGGTTTGCGTAGACGTTGCCTCGCTTCCGTTTCACCTTAGCGGGGGGAGGGTACGGCTACACGCAGGCTAAAGGCTACACAACATTCTTTTGATTCCTTCCTTACACCCCCCCTCCGCGACCACTAGTCCTCTCCATGTTCCCCCTGAAAACCAAGTATTCCCCCTAAAAAAAATATTTTCATCCACACCCTTCCCCATTCGTTGGTAGATGGTGACTGGTCCTTTCATACGAGAACCCTAGCCTAAACCGGTAAAACTGTATGAAGTGCTTTCCCGCTAACTCGTTACACTTTAGGATATTTATCTCCAAATTCAGAAAACTATACATAAAACTACGAAACAGTGAAGCAAAGCTCGACCGTGGAGACAGCACTTTTGAAAATTTCTCATTAACGGGGACGTTTCTTTAAATTCGTGGATATACGAGGTAAAGGAACGAGTAATTAAGGGACTCTATATTCAAATTTTGTGGCATTGGCAGCGGCTTGAGGAGTCCGGGGTGCGTAGGGATCTTATTAAATATGGTGGACTGATCATTAAACATCGCAGATCAATTTAGGAGGACTTCTGTGGACTGAAGCTCAAATCTGTCTCCAGGAATCAGAGGATCCTCAACCTCACATAGTGCCTCCTTCTATCTTGATTTTTTTTTCTTTCAAGTTAGTTAGCATGCGGTATAATAAGGATCAGTTGGCAATTACTCCCATCCGGGACTGTAAGACCTAAAACGTCAACAGAAAAGCTAGTTATTCCTGTTTTTTTCTTCGGAGCACCCGGATGCATTACATCATTACCTGGCTATACTCCATTCAAGACGGAAAAAAAATCATCGGCCAATTGTTTGTTCGCTAAAAAGATCAGATAAATATTACAAAATAAAATACACAGCTGGAAATATCTGGGGCTAAATTGGATCTACTTCATACATCTTTAAAAGAGGATCGAGGAAAGACAAGCTATCTTCTGACGTTTGGGTCTCCGCAGTGAATCTCAAGCTGGGAATGATGAAAGCACTTTGGTGCGCGTTAACATTTAGTTCAGTTTTCTTCATGACGGTCGATCTAGGTGAGTGGGTTAACATCTTTAACTTGACATCTCTACTTTCTATGTACCACTCATCGAAAGAGACTGCTCCTTACTTTTAAAACCCTTCAAAACCACTGACATAATTTATGAATGGATAACATTTAAAGAGATATGAGTATTTCCTGTCGTTTTTTGGAGTACAAGTTAATATTTTCTTTATATTCCTTAAACGGAAAACATTTGTGATAGCTTATCTATCCGAAGTTGCGGTATATCACTGATATGGACATCTTTAAAAAAAAAAAAAAAAAAAAAAAAAATACAAAACAATCAACTTTTTCGGTTAAAATAAAAACCAGCAGATTTCGTGGATTGTTGCTATCTTTGAGATAAAAATTGTCAAAGACCGATCTATTCCGGCAACAGATTCTTACGCGTAATGATATACCACATGGCTAATATTACATAGAATTCATGTCAAATTAGTTTGCGTTTTAAACTTCTCGCCTCATCCCTTATGTCATGTATATTAGTGAATTCAAATTGGCTTTGCTTCACGACTGTTTGAATTGTCGGATGCGTTTCCTCGCTGCGAAGACTTATTTTGCGTGAGATGCAACTACACCTGGTTAAAAAAATAAATTTGTTGTTCAGTTGTCATCGATAAAAAGAAAAACCATACCTAAATTTCGCGACATTTCCTTCGCATCACAAATAACGAATTTATGCTTAAATTTTAGCATTATGTTAATTTTTAAAAGATGTCAACATCATGAACTAATGTAGGAAACAAGGGTTGAGAAAAGAGTCTTTCAGCTTCTACGTTGGAAATGAAAAGAAGAGTTAAATGTTTGGAGAATAAAATGGGAATGGCAGACCCTTTAGAAATATTCTAAGTATAACGATTTATCCTAACTGAGACAGTTTCGATCTCGATCTTAGGAGAGAAATATTCATCTAGAACCGTTCTCTCTTTGTCGCTCCAAAATTTCACCTCGAATGGCTTATTTGTAATCTTCCGTCTTCTTTGAATTTTAAGATGTTAACGGCTTGATTTTGCAACTCGTTGAGCACCAGTACAAGCGCGGTATGCCACCATATTCATACCCCGTCTAAATGACACTTGTTCAACTTGGAAACAGTGTTAGCTTACTAGAGAAAAAAATTCCGCCCACAGACGCGGCGACGGGAGCGGTTCTATGTAAATTGAAAATTCGTTTGAATAGGACCAAACCATTTTGTCAAATTACGCAGGAGCAGTTGCGTCAGATGTTTTAGATGCTCCGTTTCAATGCGTGACTACATTTATCATAGTTTAAATAACAAAGCCAAGTAGAACCAGGCTCTGTCGAGACGAAAGACTAAACTTGAGACACGACGTTTTACAAACTCGCTGTGGACGTTTAATCAAGATTTATCCACTTCTTCTACTTTAGATCGAAAAAGTCCATCAGGTAAAGTGTGTTATTAATAATTGTTATTTTTGTTGTTGTTTATACTCTTCCAGAGAAAACAAATATTATGTAATATAAGTTTATTTCCATTCTTACTGAAACCAATAGTAGGTCTAACAGGATGCTGTTATTTCTGGTGTTCAAAACAATTCAGTAGACATCTGATTTTCTTGACATGCTTCATTGGCAGGGGAAAAATGCAAAGATATCTGCTCCAGTGATCCCTCGGTCAGGAGAAGAAATTGTGGGAAACTTAAGAAGGATGGACTACTACTAGAATTGGGAATCTTACGGCTCCCCCAAGACGCTTGCTCTCACTGGTGTTGTATAATAGTCAGATGTCCTAAATTTAACAAATCCAACCTAGAGGACTGTTCTCCCAATCTTCAAATTAGCAATCTTCGAAATTTTACAAACGAAACTGGTTATAAAAGAGCGTGGGGCATTTATATCAGACCCAAATTTGGTCAAGGAGTGCCTCCTAAATGTATATTCTTGGAGGGTAGGTGAAAAAAATATTGAGTTATATTAACAGCGTCTGCATACTAGTACACAGACAAATTGGTTTATGCTTGGCGCGCGTCTATCGGGTTATGAATGCACGCGGGAAGTTTGGAGAGCAGGAGAGAAGCGTAAAAGTTACTCGAGACACAACCGAGAGCAACTATGACTTCTTGAGACCAAATCTCTATACAAAGAATTATACATTTTGAGCTCAGAAGCGAAAGTCAAAAGAATTTCTTGCGTGTACGAGACAGCGCAGAAGGCTTAGTATGCTTCAATCGTTGTTCATTTGAATTCACGGCCAGAAAATTGCGAGGTTTGTGTTTAAAATTTTTATCATTCTGAAATTTTACAATTTAAATTATGCTATTAAATACTGCTTTTAGGAAATATCAACACTTTAAAATAATATTTACTGTCCGAAAAGCAAAGCGAAAAACTTACAAATTTCATCTTGAGCTCCAACATGTATGGAACGGAAAACAAACTTAAAAGGTAATACACCTCTTGGCTAAACTCGACGGGAACTTGCATTCGAAGTGAAACTGCACATGTCCTGTTATGGATACATGAGGATTGATAACATTTTGATTTACCACAGTAGCTCGTTAGTTAGGAATATAGGCGGGACTTGCGCCTGCGACAAAGTATAATACGGTAACGATTACCTTGTATACCTAACTCTCACTTTGAGAGCAACACTTCGTCTCGCAATTATTTCCCACGAATGCCAAATCTTTCGCTAAGAGAAAAGAGGGAAAAAACGAAACCAAACAAAAAAGGGAAACGAAACGAAGCAAATTAATAAAAAATAAATAAACAAACAAAACATCGCTTATTTACCTCCAATTCCACTTTTCTGTCAATCATTCTCGCAGGAAACATAACATTACAGGAGCAGGAAGAACGAAGAAAGGTAATGGCGAGAGATTCATTGCTAGAGCAATACTGAAAGAGTCTAATGATTTCAAACTTAAAACTGGTTAACTCATATGTGGTGGGAAATTCATTAATTAACTTAATGACTGTCTGCCTGACCGACTGACCAACTAATCGACTGACAGATTTTAAAATCTGGAAGATTGACTGAAAGATTGGCAAACGTGACCAATTGATTCATTGTTTAACCCCTTATTTGTTTTTGTTTGGTTCATTTAGAGGCGTTGTATTCGGGCTTTTTACAGAAATCTTGACTCTAAGAGGAAGGAGGACATTCAGGTAATGCAGTTTAATAATGATATTGGTTTTTCCAGAATAGAAGACACAGGAATTGCGTAAAATTATGTTGTAGCTAGTAGCAAAAAAGATAGCGAGGCACAAAACCGCGATGCAATACGTTACAGAAGGGTTCCAAGCTACGTAAGTAAACCAACCCGCACAATCCACTGCTATAGGCTGCCTGAGAACTCGAATGAAATCCGAATCATCGGGCGTGCAGCCATATACATGTCCCGTATTTAAAGTTTGTATCTAAAGTATCTAAAGATTTCGCAACATTAAAAATTCGCCTCTAACTGGATTTAACCCTTTAGCTCCCATGAGTGATCAAGACAGAATTTCTCCTTACAATATCAATACAATATCAAGCAGAGAAGCAAATAGAGTAAAGAACAATATTTATTAGGGAAATATTACTTGATCCAGTACCAAATTCTCTGAACTAGCATCACAAGAATTATGTAGCAGACAGTAAGGGGAATTACAAATGAGATCTTGGAAGTTCGAGTGTTCATGTAGTTTACCCCATCTGGAAGATTTTACTCTGTCAAAAACTAATGGCTCGTTACAACCTTTAAAATTTCGAGGGCAAAATTTACTGCAATGATGAAAATGAAAGATAACTTTTTAAACCTCTCTAGGTATATATCTGCAAATAACTCTCCTTCGATTCCTATAAACAGGCCGCGTTCTCTTTACTTAAAAATGTAACGTCGTCCAGTACAAAGTATGACGCGATGTTCTCCGCATTGGCTCTTGAGGACTTCCTGTGGAGACACAGTCAAGCACATTTGAACACTACAGTTACCAACATTTCCTTCTCAAGCGAAGTCGCAGGTAAACCTTTTGAAGAAAATGATGATGAAAATAAAAAAGAAAACAATAACAAAAATAATAAAGTAAGTTCACGGCCCCACTCAATATCCACGCAGGCTTGTCCCTTGTAGCCCTCTTGGCTATTTTTTTTACTTCCGCTTTGAATAATTTAGTCACTTAACCCATCCCTTGTTCCAAATAGGTAGTGTTACTTAATTTATAAAATAAATTCTACAAAATGATGTCCTCCTTCTTACCTAATATTAAGGAAAATTAATTATTGGAAAATTTTACTGGATAAGTCTTACTTTAAGCTGAGACAAGACCAATCGCACTCAAGCAGAAAGAAAGGAGATATATGGGGCTTAATATTCTTCTATCGGACTGAATCGACACCATAAAAACATGTATATCTAAATAGTCTTGAGACTACATGGATTTCTTTTTTTTCCTTGTAACCCTTAATCGTAGATGTTTTTGCCAGTCGCCTTCACCGGGACAGGGGCAAAAAATTTCGTTTTGCTGATCCCAAAAACGAAAACTTCGTGGAAATTTCATATCGAAACACCGACGAGAATGGTGAGTATGTTAAGGCGTAATCTCATTCAGTAATATCTGAACCCATGATTAACATTATTTTGTTATCCAATGGCAGTAATATCATGGCGGAAGAGATAGCTCGAGAAATAAATGTGAAGAAAAGAGAAGGAAAAAAAAAAAAAACAGAAAAAAAAAAACACAGACTTATCTTTGAAATCGAGGCGCAAACAATTGTATGGTGCAGTTCTTCCAAACATAGAATAAGACACGAGAGGAAGTAAACAAAATATCTTCGACCATATTTGAAAACATTTTAACACATCATTGGAGGGGGAAGGGGAGAAAGGATCAGTCGTTGCCTACAAAGAGTAAAGGAGGGGAGGGGGGCGAACTATAGACAATCGACTGCCAATCAACCCCAGTGAGGGGGGATCAGCTTATCGAGACACAATCAAAACCCTCTGACAGCTCCCACGCCAGCCAATAAATATTGAACGCTATCTTAGTTATCTTTTCATTCAATTTAATTCCATCAAGGCTCAATGGTTGTAGGAGTAATGTACAAAAATCTTACCGAGTTGTTTACATCAGACAAGAACACTAGAGGAACCAACAAAATAAGGTTTGTATTTCAGCAGCAAGAAAATCAAATACGTTTGTTAAATCAAAGTATGTAAAAAAATAATAAAGAAAAAACTAAATTATACAACATCCTTCACGTGTATGGCGAAGATAATGATTACATCCAAACCTACCTCATGGTTTTAAATTATTGTCTCTTTTCAAAAACCAAGGCTCAGAAGTAGAGGTGAGCAAGCATTGACAACTTTTGCAAGAGATTTTAATACATTTTACATATTTTTTTTTGTTTTGAATAAATGTATTCACATATTTGTTTGCTTCGAAGCTATTTAAAATTTCATTCAGTATTTTTTGTTGTTTTTGTTTCAGGGTGCTGAACTCCATAATCATGTCCGTTGAAATGTACCCCGAGCCTGCAGATATACTGCTGGAGAACATCACCTTGGTTTTTAAACACATAAAGGTATGTACATCACCTTTACAATGAAAGAAATTCACATCCCCCTTTTACACCTTGTTAAATCTGTAGCTTTCTCCATGACAGTTTGCCTGACACTCGAAACGTTAGCTCTGTAATCTCTCTACGGTGGGCAATTCACGGTATCAACTCAGCTAATAACGCTCAACCATCTCATGATTTTAAGCTTGTGTATAAGATCTTAGATTTTAAACTTTATATTTCCCATTAAGAGATTATAGACTGAGTTTAAACTTCTTCTTGATTCGTTCTTTTTAAATTCATTTCAGGCCGGTGGAAAAAGCAGAGAGTGTGTATTCTGGGACATGTTTGGAGATGGGTAAGGCTCGCTCTTTTCGGACGAAATCTACTTCTTGCACAACATGTATTATGCTGGCCATTTAGACAGCTCTGTTAGATTCTATACCCTGGAACTAAACCACATAAATTTTCTTTTATTTTTTGTATAAAGTCCCGTAGATTGGTCAGGGCAAGGATGTTTCACCAGAATTATGAGCGAATCCCAAACGGAATGCAAGTGCAACCATTTAACTCACTTTGCTGTTCTAATGGATATCACCGAAAGTATAGATGAAAGTAATGCAGGGGATACAAAGGTATAAGTTTCATTTAGTGTTCTTTCTATGGTGTATAATTGTATCAGTTGGCAGCACGTATCATTTCAAGTTCATATTCCAATAAAACAAGGTACTTACGGAGAAAATGCATTTGTAGTGTAAGTACTTAAAAAAGCTTTGCTGGACAATCCGTTCGCTTGGCTAACATAAAGTGTTTCAAAAACATTAAGTTAGGGGTACTCTGGCTTGAAAGAAAGAATACACCTAACACTATGTTGGGTCGATTGTATTCAGATCCCATATCCTGAAGGCGCACATTTTTGGCTACAATCGGCCACAAGAAGGCAGATAGTAACATAAAGTGTTTCCAAAACAGTCACTTAGGAGTACTGTGGCTTGAAAGAGAGAATACACCTAAAAACGTGTTGGGTCAATTGCACTCAGATTCCATATCCCAAAGGCGCGCATTTTTGGCTACAACCTGCCACAGGAAGGCAGATAGTAACATAAAGTGTTTCCAAAACAGTCAGCTAAGAGTAATGTGGCTTTACAGAGAGAATACACCTAAAAATTTGTTGGGTCAATTGCACTAAGATTCCATATCCCAAGGGTGCGCATTTTTGGTTACTATCAGCCACAAGAAGGCGGGTTCATATGACACCCTAATTCCTATGGGCATGGAATATTCATTAAATCATTAGTTTCCCTTAAAGTACCCCAGAAGTTCAGGAGTATGGTTTTACGCCAAAGAGGTCCATGTAAAATGGTATCCGCGGGTTTCGCCCATAACGAGTTTCGCCCAAGAAGCGTTTCGCCCATAACGAGAATGGTTTCGCCCAGGCATAAATTCGATTTAAGTTAAAGCTTTCGTACCGCACGCTTCGTCGGAGTAGTAAAGCTATTCCACGCGCGCGCACTCATGAACTTGATTAGTTTCTATCTCTTTTCCAATTATATGTTGCCGTTACCTATGTCAGAAATACAATCTTTAACTCTCGATTCCTTTGTTTTAGTATTCACGAAACCGTATTCACATGTATTCATAAGCTGGCGTGCGGAACTTATCTTCCGTGTACAAAAGATTTGCAACGATGATATGTTCCACGCGCAAGTGTTTTCAAAAGCGTTTAATTTAATTCTCGAGAAGAAAAGTGATAAAAAAAAAATCATAGCAATGCTTTTACGACAAACGGACGTCTCTGCAGTATTTCGTGCGCGAATTACCTTAACAATCCCCGCTCCACAGTGAAAGCTATAATTGCCTTGTTCGTTTCAACAGTAACTTGTTCGTTTCAAAATTTCATGATCTCAGGTCAAGTCACTTTTCTTCATTCTGTGCATACAAACGTTTATAAGGTTGACGTTTTCCGAGTGAGAGTGTAGAAGTTTTACTTATGGGCGAAACCTTTATTGTTCTGGGCGAAACCATTCTCGTTCTGGGCGAAACGATATGTGCGAAACTCGTTATGGGCGAAACCCGCTATAACCATGTAAAATGAAGGTAATACATTTCAATTGACTTCAAAGGAAAATGACAAGATACTGACAGTTCTTACACACGTGGGGATGGCTTTATCGCTGGCTGGAGTTTCTATAACAATAATCAGTTATATACGGCTAACGTAAGTCCACTTCATTCAAATGCTATAACTTGGGTGTTTAAAAAATTGCTTGAGGTATTGGTCAATGTAGCATGAAGGATGTGATCTTTTTTATTGTGTCGTCTGATAGTCCAGGTGAGAGTAGAGAACCTTCTGGTCAGCAAAGACTGACGTCTCGTCAATCTCAATAAACTTGGGAGGTAGGGTAACCTGACGGTGGTTTGAGACATTCTGTTGGTGGAATTTATTTAAACTGAGACAAAGTAACCCACAAAGTTAAAAAGAAAGTCAGCTGTGAAATGTGCACAAGGTAGACAGAGAGTTAAGGGCCAAGGACATCACCACCACATTAAATATGAATTTATTGACTAAAAACGCTTCGGGAGGTAAGTTTTCTCTTTCTTGACTTCCTCAGTTGAATCTTCTTCCTTTTGGTTTTCATATTTCTTTACACGTCTATCTGTTTGGGCTTCTGTAGAGACAGGCAAGCACCCCTGTTCCATAGTCGGGTGGGACTAACATCTTGCATTGGAGCTGGACACATTGTCTTTTTTGCTGGGATTGATGCCACAGAAAACAAGGTGAGAGTTGGAGCAGAATGCTTTACATCTTTATCCTTCAGTATTATTTGTTTAGATGAATTTGTCTGAGCTGTTTCTTTTTCTGATGATTGCTCGCTTATCAGTACATCAGCCAACTGATGATGATTCCTTATAGGCTGCCTGTGTTACAATTGCTGCTCTCATGCAGTACTTCTTGATGGCAGCTTTCTGCTGGATGCTTGTTGAAGGAGCTTACATTTACTTATTTGTGGTAAAGGTGTACAACGTCAACGATAAAATCTGCCGCTTTCATGGTCTTTGTTGGGGTAAGGAAAGCTACTTCTTGAGATGTGAACACTAAATCCCGTTGAAAACTAGGCCCCTAAGGTAAATCGAATAAAGCAAAGCAATTATCGACCGAAAAGGATTTGCGACTGACGATGTGTTAATACCAAAATTCGGATTGGCCATCAGCACTTACCAGAAAAGCCTTGAAGTCTTGAAGAATAGTTACTATTTTTGTCAGTATGACAAAGCGAAAGCAATTACGATGGGCCATTTGTAAAAGTAGATATTATAGCCGTCAAATCTATCTAGTATTTGTAATTGTCAACAATGCCTATTTTTATTCATTGTGCTTTTTTGCTATAGGACTTCCTGCGGTCATGGTTACTGCATCTTTGGGTATTGTTGCAAGAAAAGATGGAATCGAAAATTATGTCAGTGACCAGTAGTAAGTTTGAATGTTTACCTATTAAATCCTCTCTATGGAAGTATCGCAGCGGATATGTGACTTGGCAGCTGCCTGAACGGGGAGAACCCAGTGGAAGGGGTGTGAGCTCCCCTCTAGCAATCTTCCTCACCTCGTATGTGTGGATCGAAACTAAGTCGTCTATCTTTTTTTCTTTCTTCCGAAATGAGTTGGCGTTTCTTTCTCTTCAATTTCCCTTGTTTTATTAATTAATATATTCATCCATCCATTTTTTCCTGTTTTTTCCAAACTTCAAGCTGCTGGATATCTTCAAGAAACAAAATCATCTGGACATTTGTTTCCTTTGTTGGACTAATTGAACTTGTATGTGATGAAACTTCTTTTTAACATAAATTTCGCACTTCTCACATGCAACTTATCTCTTAGCACTTCATCTCCTCCAGCTCATAGACCTAATCAAATTTTTTTTTTTTAATTTTTTAAAGTTTTTTTTTTATATATAGATAAATATATATAAAGGAGAGACAGATGGGAGGAATCCATTTATCCATCCACTACACCACAAACATCAATAAATAATAAAGCGTCTTGAGAACGAATTTATATCCACAAAGCTATATAATAGCGGAAGGCTTTGGAACTTAAGCTATTTGACCTATTTTTCAAAATATACTCCAGTTATTTTTCATACTCTTGCGCCAAAACATTTCTTATTGAAAATCCTATTTAGTGGAGTCGGCATCACTCTTAGCTGCCGCCCCTTTTTCCCGCTTCTGTCCTATTTTTTCTCATATTTTATACCATTCCTGATGGACAATATACAAAAATTAAACTACTTATATTCCTATTATTGCTTGTAAAGATTAATATAGCGATCCTCGTGCGAGTTATCAAGGAAGTTACCACAATCCAACAAGTGAAAGACAACCAGAGTGAGCAGATCAGGTAGGATGAACATTTCCCTCTTCCTATGAATCACACGATCCTTTCAACATAGCTATTCCCAGAAGAATGCCAGATACTTGTCACAAATGAACTTCATAATGGTATAGCACATAATCGAGTACTGTAGCTCCGTTGTTGGACGTCCGAGTGCGAAATCCGACGGTCTGGGGTTTGTTTCCCTGAGGAATCGAGTTTTCAGGTTGAATACAAATCTCTTTTTCTCCTTCAGGGTTGGTGTTCGAGCATGCGTGGTGTTGACTCCGTTGCTTGGAGTTACATGGCTGATAGGTTTCTTGTCGCCATTGCACATTGCCTTTTCTTACATTTTTGTCATCCTAAACTCTATACAGGTAAAGTACAAAGCTAAGGGCTGATACGCCTGAGGTGCTACTTCTAGAGGAATGTTAAGGCGTATTTCCAAGAAGATGATTATCAAAATTTCGAAATGAGAAAGGTGTAACTCAGATTAAATTTCCGATTCGGAAACTTTTAAAGTTAATGTCAAGCACAAAGAGAACTTGAACCGAGAAAAATGGTTAAATTAGGTTGTGATGGCCTATCTCTAAAACTACAGACCTGCTAAAACCTCTAAAGTACCAAGATAGAAAAGAATGATTGAAAATGAAAAGACGTGTGGGACCGCTAATTTCACGAGAAGACTCTTTAATTATGGTAAAAAAAGAAATTTGACCCTTTAACTCCCATGAGTGACCAACACAGAATTTTCCTTACAATATTAATACAATATCAAGCAGACAAGTCATGAGAATAAAGAAAAGCATTAATTAGAGGATTATTAGTTGATCCAATACCAAATTCTCCAAACTAAAATCACAAGCACTATATGGCAAACAATAGGGAGAATTACCAATGAGACCTTGGGAGTTGAAGGGTTAATTAACTATTTATCTATTTATCTGCTTACCTATTTACCGGACCCTTTTTTCGGCAGGGCTTCTCGATTTTCTTCTTTCACTGCTTGGGAAATAGTGAGGTATGGATAAATTCGAGTCTTCATAATCTGAATATCTTCAACAGGAAAAAAATGTTTTCTAGCTAAAGGAAAGTCTCTAATTAGTGCCTCGCATTCCTCACTTAGATAAGAGAACGTTTCAAAAGAAGACTTCGACAAGCATGGCCCTCCCGGCTTCACAAAATTAAACCCCAAATGTGAGAGGCAAAGTCTGTGATACCAGTCAGAGTCGAGATAGATCCTGAAACTTCAGAGTTACAATGAACTATGATGTATGCACCTGAAGATTTATAAATAGATACTTAACTTACGTTTATCTTTGATCAAAACTATAAAGAAATTCACCATCCCCACATATTGTCAGCAGCTCAATTTTAATATCGTCTGTGTCACGGTTTTAAGAGGTTATTAGCCGTCACCAAAAGAGCTTTAAAGGGAGACCATAAAAGAAATTGACTGACATCGAGGGAGGGCAATATCACAATGCTTTATGGAGGGGCGTGGCAACCATAATCCTTCCAACCCCCCTCTCCACGGCGCAGTATCATGCTCAAAGTCGGACAGTGGGATAGGAGAGATTACGAGTCATGTCTGTAAAACTGGACAATGCACATCAGCTAAAATTATAGCATTATAAATTATTTTTGCTGATGTGTATTTTTTCGCAAGTTTAGTCATAGTTTTGATAGATTGATTACATTACTTTTGGTTGTCCAATGTTCAGCAATCGTTTAAGCCGTTTACTTATTAAATGCATCTCTGCTTCGCAATTATTCGATTTTGTTTATAATTCGTTCAGTTTAGTTTACTCTTAGATTAGTCTTAGTGCCATAAAGCGTCAAATCGTCCTAAACAAGAATGCCGACTTACCATCTTGTTCTCCATTGTTTTAATTGTAAAATACACTTACTCCGATCCCCATTGGAAAAGTTAATCCAAATTGTAAGGTTGCTGCATAAAACCGTTCACTCATAAAAATCTCATTTGCAATTCTCCCTACGTCTGCTATACAATTCTCACGTCGTTAGTTTGGAGACTAAGCTATTGAATCAACTAATAATTATCCTTTCATTGAAATTTTCTTCATTTCCATCCCTTAATTTATCTCAATACTGTACTGATGTTGCAAGGAGAAGTTATTTATTGCTCACTGGTGCAAGTCAGAGGGTAACTGCTGTACCTGAGAAGTTCTTTAGCCAATTTAATCTTCATGCTCTACTTTTTTTACTTTTATGGAGATTTTCCTAATTAAATGTCTTGGTTCATGATATGTTACGATTTCCATATAAGTCTACGATTAGTAGTCAAGATTTAGCTCTAAGATTGAGATGTCAGAGAAGCCTTGGAGTTTTATGAAGAAGTAAATCTTAATCATTGTAAACAGTCATTAGGCATATGAATTAACTCAATTGCAACTGATTTCAGTAAGTACAACGATCAATTCAGTGTGTTGGGTGTAACATATAGATGATAACAATTTCATAAGGCTATTACACTTTGAAAAGGATAATGAAAACGTTATATAACCATGCAGATACAACTGTTGCATGTTCATCGTTTTTTCATAAACACGTAATAATACAAATAGTCCAACAAAACGAATCATCTAAGCTGCCAGCGAAGCGAATTGGCTCAAGAAAGCGAGAAGAGACTGGAAACAGCTCTTGAGCACCCCAAGACCTCACTATCCTTATTTCGTCACTCGCTGCCTCTCAAAACTTCACATTGACCATTACATTAGAAAAAGGAACACATCTTTAAACATCAGTACTATGTGGGAATGCTGATTATAGGAAAATGGAAACAAAATGCGAGGAAGGGGAGGGAGGGGTGGTACTATAACAGGTTTCTTGATGTCAGCTATCCCGCTGCTAGTTCCCAATTTTTTTTTTTTTTTCAAAGATGCTGCTCCATTTTCCAGACTGGAAATCAAACAATTTTGGTTTAAAACAATGTGTTACATTTGCACAGGGAACTTCAGAGGTTATGAAAAATAGGGCAAGTCTCGGTGTTTTTAGCATGGTTATGGGACTTTTTCGGGCTTGAATACAACTAAAAGTAATGTATAGAAAATAAAATATACCTGGCAAACAGTTATCTAAAACATGCATCGAGTGTCATTTGCACGCTCTCTACCAATAATAACTAGAGTATCACCAGTCCTTCCCTCTCTCCCCTCCCACCCCTGCATCAGATTAAAACTATATATATAGCCTCTCAAAAGCGTGACGAGAAACTTTACTGTTCTCTGTTGCACGCGGATATGGCCACCACCATCAGGATGAGCAAGAGGAGATTCAGGTGAACAGAAACTCCGCTGCCTTCTTTATCGTCTTTGTCATTTTTGTCGTCCTTGTCATTTTTGTCATCTTTGTCGTCTTCGTCATCAAGTTCATCCCCCAATGTCACTCCTAGGTCGATTTCAATGCATTTTGCTGAAATTAGCGAGTACTCGGAAAGCAATCCTATACTTTTTGCCCAGCTGTTCGAGTTTTGGGTAGCCAACGTTGCTGAAGTTGGCAAATTTGCCATTTACTTTGCACTAGTAAAAAAATGAAAGAAAAAAATTAAACTACAATCGTCATAAGTTAGAAATGAATGAATAAAAGCGCGCCTTTACAGTAGCAGAATATATTGTGCGCGAACGCTCTTCAGGAGGCAATTTTCAAATTGAACTTATCTAAGATACAGCTAAAAAATTGAAAAAAAATAAAAAACAGCAACAACAAAAACAACAACAAACACAACAACCTGACAAACTAAAAGGTTTTGTTTATCACTGACAAGCGATTCTTTGAATTGTTTCATGGTTTGCTGACGTCACCCCACTTGGGTTAGTAGGCAGGTCAACCAACAGAAAGGGCCGTTTAGATCTGTTGCATGATGATTTCATTTAGAGTGTTACCTTGTTAGCGGCTGACATTTCATCATCGGTATCGTTTCCATCGCCAAAGCGGAAATGCTTGCCGCATTTACCTATTTTCCGGCATGGAATTTTTCGATTGAGTTTCTTGTGTTTACCGTCACTGCCTTTTATGTCTTCGTCTTTCTTTGGGTTTTGATCCTTTCTTCCCTGTACGATGAGTCCCAACTCAATGTCCTTCGCCTCACTGGAAGTATAGTTTTCATGCTGTAGAAAAAAAATCAAATTTCGAACATATTTGGTTTATAAAGTGAAATAATTAAATGACTTTCAATTCCATGTCGAGAGTATTTGGGATTGCGTCGTTTTTGTTGCAATTGTTGTTTTGTTTTGTTTTCGTTGTTGTTGTTGTGTTTATATTTTTTTTTTGTTTTTTTTTTTTTTTTTTTCTTAACTCTGCGATTGTCTCGCACCACCTTCTGGGTCAGTCTGGTTCATTTTTCAAGCAAGTCAAAGCTGAGGTGGACCTAGTTCGTTACTCAAAGATATCTGTCACCAGTCTGAGGTAAAAAGACAAACCATTGATTTTTTGTATCCCCATAAGTCTAAAGCACATATCTGTCTCAGGGAAACATAAATATGCTTAGATTGGCCCTAGATTAGCCCAAACAGCGAAAGCTAAAGGACTGATGACAAACTTAATTTTGATCATGTTTTGAGTGAGAGAAACAGATCAATAACGGTTTCCCGTGCTGGAATCAATATCTTTATGTTGTAAATTTAACTCAAACTTTTTTTTTTCCCTGAAAACGGCATAGTTCGGAAAAAGAGGACTCCTGTTTCGTCTAAAACTGAAAATAAATCCAATGGAGTCAAGTTAACATAGGTAAGTCCTTTAAGTTGTCCCACTCAGTACCATCTCAAAAATAAAAAGGGAGTGTAGCTAGCACACACTCTCCCAATAATAACTAGAGTACCCCTTCCCTCTCTCCCATCCCACCACTACATCACATTAAAACAACATACGTAGATTCTCAAAAGCCTGACGAAAAACTTTACTGTTCTCAGTTGAACGCGAATATGGCCGCCAGCATCACGAAAAGCAACAAGAAATTCAGCTGAACAGAAATTGCGTTGCATACTTTATCGTCTTTATCATCGTTATCGTCTTCGTAATAAAATTCATCCCCCAATGTCACTCCTGGGTCGATTTCAATGCTTTTACTTGAAGTGAGGCCTATTTCGAAATACATCATATACCTTTTGCCAACCTTCTCTACCAATGGATACTGGTCGAGGTGGGTAAATTTGCCATCTATTTTGCACTAGTGAAACAAATGAAATTAGGATCGTCATAAGTTAGAAATAAGAAAAGAAGCGCAGGCATTACAATGGCAGAATATGTTATGTGCGAACGATCTCCAGGAGGCGGTTTTCAAATTGAACTTATCTAGAATACACCAAAAAACGAATAGCAACAACGAAAACAACAACGAACACAACAATCTGACAAACTAAAAGGTTTTGTTGATCACTGACTAGCGATTCACTGAATACTTTTACGGTTTCTTAAAGTTTTCCTTCTTAGTTTTTTACGCAAGTCAACCAACAGAAGGGCGGTTTAAATCTGTTGCATAACGATTCATTTAGAATGTTACCTTGGAAGCAAATGACATCTCATCATCCGTACCGTCTCCGTCGCCAAAGCGGAAATGCTTGCCGCATTTACCTCTGCTCCAGCATGGTATATTCCGAGTGACATGGGGTCGTTTGTTTCTACTGACACCGAGTTCTTCGCTTTTATTTGGGTATTGACCTAATCTTCCCTGGACAATGAGTCGCATAATAACTTCACCCGTCTTACCGGAAAGATAGTTAAGCTGTGAAAAAACAGTCAAATTTTGAACTTATTTGGCTTATAAAGTTAAATAATTAAAATTACTTTCAATTAAATGTCGGTATTATTTCGGATTGCGTTGCTTTTTGTTGTTGTTGTTGTTATTTTTACTTTTGTTTCTGTTTACTCCACCTTCTGCGTCAGTCCGATTAATATTTCAAACAAATCAAAGCTGGGGTGGATCCAGTTGGTTACTCAAAGGTGCCTGTCGCCAGTCTAAGGTAAAAAGACAAAGTATTGATTTTTCCTATCTCCATAAGTCTAGAGCACATGTCTGTCTCAGAGAAACATAAATATGCCTAGATTGGCACTAGATTATCCCAAAAAAAGACGCTAAAGGACTGATAATAAATTCTGATCATGTTTTGAGTAAAATTAATTATGTTGGAAACAACTCAGCAGATCATTAACGGTTTCTCGCGCTGGAATCATTTATCGCAAATTTAACTCAAACTTTTCCTTGGAAGTGGTATACTTCGGAAAAAAATTACTTCCGTTCCCGTCTAAAACTAAAACAATAATTCCAGTGGAGTCAAGTTAAAACAGCTTAGTCCTAAGTTGTCCCATTCAGTACCATCCGAAACTAGTTAACGCTCCCAATAAACCCTACGTGATTATGATGTCTATTCACAAAGATAACATTGTAGATTACTTAAAAACTTAAATTTCACGGAAAATGAGTGCGTACCCTCAGGAATAATTTCATCGACCTATTTCTCAATACAATCTCATCATCATCGAATTTGATCGCTCCGTCTTGGCAAAGAGTGTAGATGTCAAGGTACAGATGTGCCTTTTGAGCCTTGAAGTAAGCCATGGCGGAGAGCTTCATTGCAGTCACGTTTTGCAACACAGCGGATTTCGGTTTTGTGAGGGTGAAATCTTGAAATTTAGGGACTAAATCTTCGATCTCTCGGGTTTTCCCTAGCCAGATGGTGTCCATTTCTATAGTAAAGGCTTTGACAAAATTCTTATTGTTACGACAACGACGAAACAGAACCTTTCCAGACCTGCTAAGGACTTTTATGCACATACCGCCACATGTTTTGCCGTTAAAATCAGCCGCAACAGCTGACAAAAGATTGGTAGCTGAGAAGAAAAAAAAACATCATGTGTTGTATATACTCGAACATTACCTCAGCCGGCAGTTTACGAGGTGATTTTACATTTCGCCGACCTCAAATTGAGTACCCGGCTGAACATAACGAGCGAATTATAGAAATTTGCCAAGATTGAAAGATTGACTGTTCCAGTTTGCATGGTGAATTTTTAAGCCCACCACAGAGATGTAAGCTCATCATGATGATATCTATCAAAACATGCCCACATGCACACACATACAGAAAGAAAAAAAGAAAACGTCCAGGTCACAAATGGAACTGATACATAAAGAAAAAATTCGAAATCGTCGAAGGTCTCTGTTTTATCACCATCTGTTTTGTTTTCCTTTGTTTTGTTTTTTTCGACAGCTTTCGTTCGATCTTTTTCATCACACCCATGGTGCGTTCGAGTTAGTTCAAGTTATTCCATCGTTCGAACCACTAGTTTGTGGTAACCTAAATACTTTTTACATAGTTTGAACTCGACTACACTTTTATTTTTTTCTAAAGGAAACAACTTAACGTAAAACTGACAAAAAATATTCAATTAACTGAAATGACAAAACCATCAGTAAATTCAAATCAATGATCATGTGAGTTGTGTTTGGTCCGGTTTTCGTAATATTACCCTGCATTTGGTTTGTTTAAAAGTCGCTAAAAGAACGTATGATCAATATTTAAAAATAGCGTAGTGACTTTGATCCACCTTCATCGATTTTTTCTTGCAATGATAGTGAGATGACTTTCGAAACCAACGTTTGGTTTTATTGTACTACATTGAATAACTACTAAAATTTTAGTGCTATTCCAGATTGAAATTGGGTTGGTAATGAAGACAATGGATTGTACAGCTCCAATAGTATTCAATAGTCGTAATTCTTAAGCTTCACGAGAACCGGAGAAAGCGAAAGAGGCGGCGAAAAGTAGTTTATTTGCAACTGAAAAGAAACTGCTTTATCTCAAGTATCACCTGCCCTCGAAACAGTCCAACTAGCCTATTGTTATACAAATTTAAGTGATAACAAATTAATCGAATGTTGTGATATTATAGTCATTAATAGTATGTTGTGAGTGATATTCGAACTGAGTTCGAATTTATACCTATTTCACCAAACATAAATTGCTGTGCAAACTGATTTCGGCTAAATGATTAACAGGTGAAAATACAACGCATCTAACGGGATGAGTTTTTTGTCAGATAGCAAACAAAAAAAAAACACCACATTTAGGACCGAGTTTATTTCATTAAAAATTGCGATGAAAATTTCTTAAAAACAATTTGAGATTGCTAAAATTGACGACTTTTCAACGTTGACTAAACGTTTTTATCAAGTCAAAAAGTAATATTTGTAAGTTGCAGTCTCTCTCACAGGACGAAATCACATGTTTCCGTATTTCTGAAACGTGGCGGAAACATGTAACTCTAGGTTTCCGTTATGTTTAACATGCACAAAAAGTGGTCCGGTTCCGTTGTATACGCAGCAACGGAAACGCGAGAAAACGTCACGAAACCGGTAACGGAAACACAGGTTATCCGTCGTGTTTCCAGAACGGTTTAACATGTTTCTGCCACGTTTCCGTTTACGGATTCTTGCAATTTCGTCCTGTGTCTATACCAAATAAGCAATGGGTGATAAAAAGCTATACCGTGAGAAAAGAACAATAGTAATTAGACAAAAACCTCTAAATTTTCACACTTTGATAACAAGCGACCGGCAAAAATGCTTGGACGACCACGTAAGCATTTACACTCTCTCCTTCAAAAAGAGAAAGAGTTGCAAGAAACTTTACATCGAATTTTGCTTGAAGAAATTGCCCATTCACTTTCTCCAAATATTTCCAGGCTCTCTCATCTTTATGGCCTACCTAAGACTCACAACGCCACACAGGATATGAGGCCTATTTTATCAGCAACTGAAACCTACAATGACAATCTGGCTGAATGGCTTGAAGAAAAGCTGAAACCGCTTTTCATAAATGAGTATACAGTCACTGACGCCTTTGCCTTTGCTGATGAGATTCGTACTCATTCTATGAATGATGAAGACATATTGGTTTGTCACGACGTCACAGCTCTCTTCACCAATGTACCTTGTCCACAAAGCCTTCACAGATGATTGGTTCAACAAAATCAATGGCCTTAATCTGCAAAAGGATCAGCTTGCTAAACTACTCAAAATTGCCACAACCAATCAGCTTTTACAGTTTAACGGTCAAGTTTACGAACAAATAGATGGCGTGGCTATGGGCTCCCCACGTGGTACTCTAATGGCCAAGTCTTCATATGTCATCTTGAAGAAACACTTACGCGCGATGACTTAATGCTCTATCTGTACAAGAGGTAAGTCGACGACACCCTAGCCAGAATGCCTAGCGCTGCTGCTGCTGTTGTGCTTCTTATTACTCTGTAGCAGGCCTGACTCTGTATAACCTACACTCTAGTCTAACTTTTACGATGGAGCTTTCTGCTGTTAATGAGATCTCTTTTATCGGCATTGAAATCGTCAAGTACGGAACTAAACTTGAAGCTCAAGTTTACGAAAACCAACAAACACTGATTTCCTCTTACACTTCCACAATCACACTGATAAACGCTGTAAAAACTCTTTGTTACAGACAATTATACACTGAGCCTATGCCCTATCGTCTACCACAGAGGCTTTTAATGTAGAATGAGGTTAAATTACGCTCCATTTTCAATCGTCTTGCTACCCTAAGGGCCTTATTGATTCCGTTATCAATAACTTTTTTTTTAGAAATGCTTCGGTAGGCACAGCGGAAAGAAACACCGATGATAGTAGGACAGTAAGAATTAGTCTTCCATTCAAAGATCAAGTAATCGCTAATGCAGTTCGGCAGCAGTTGCGCGATCTTAGCCATAAGATTCTCCTTACGTTGCAGCCTGTTTTTGTGAGCAAGAAATTAAGGTAAGATCTTAAACCCAAAGAAATCAAGCCGTCAATTGTAACTCGACAATGCGTTGTTTACCGTTTCTCATGTGATCCGTGCGATGCACATTGTGTCGGGTACACAGCACGACACCTTCATCAACGCATTGCTGAGCACAAATATTCGGCAAGCGGTCGACATTTTGTGGAAGCTCACGGTAGCAACCACCTCTTGAAAGAAAACCAATTTAGAGTTTAAAGAAGGTACCAGGAAAAATTTAATCGTTTAGTCTTTGGAATGACGTTCATCAAGAATCATAAGCCTAATTTAAATATCCAGACAGACTGCATACGTGCCAAACTTTTTAATTACTATTGTTCTTTTCTTACGGTAGAGCTTTTTATGACCCATTGTTATTTTGGTATGTATAGACTGCAACTTGCAAATTTTTTTTTTTTGACTTGATAATGACGTTTATCCAACTTCTTAAATGTTTGAAGGAAATGTTTTATCGCCGTTTTTTATACTTATATGTTTTTCTAAATCACTTCTCCTGAGTTTATCTTACATTGCAAAACTTGGCTAGGTTCCCAAACGGAGGACGGCACAAGCAATCATTCGTAACAATTTCTTTGAACAAGCCTAACACGACTATTCCCCAAGACCAGAAAATCTTTTTCGGACAACTTATACCACTTCGGGATTTTGCACCTCCAATCACTGTTTTCAAGTCATCATGTAATATATATTCTCTATCATTCATGGTTTGCGTCAAATGTTATGGTTACCGTACTTATCAAGACAACTCTGAGTAAAGACAATGTTTAGCATGTACAAAGCCACTCTAAAGTGACCATGTTGCTACTGGCTACTACAAAAAACTATTTAAATTTACCTCATACTGAAGCAGATCCACTCTCCAAATGCATATTGAAAAATAATAGAAACAGCATACAGGGCTCATCGAAACGATCCAAACTCAGCCCGTTTTAAGAAAGACATCCTGGCCAGAATGCCTAGTACTGCTGCTGCTGTTGTGTTTCCTATTACTCTGTATAGCTTACACTCCAGTCTAACTTTTACGATGGAGCTTCTAACAGATGATAAGATTTCCTTTTATTTTCTTTTAAACTTAAGACTCAAGTTTACCAAAAACCAACAAACACTGATTTGCTCTCTTCCGATAAACCCTATAGAGACTCTTTTTTAAAGACAATGATACACCGTCAGCCCATGCCCTATCGTCTACCACAGAGGCTTTTAATGAAGAATGTGTTAAATTACACTCCATTTTCAGTCGTCTTGACTACCTTAAGGGCCCTATTGATTCCGCTATCAATAATTTTATTTTACAAATGCTTCAGCAGGCACTGCAGAAAGAAACACTGACGATGGTAGGACAGTAAGAATTAGTTTTACATTCAAAGATCAAGTGACCTCTAATGCAGTTCGGAAGCAGTTGCGCGATCTTAGCCATAAGATCCTTTCTACGTTGCAGCCTGTTTTTGTGAGCAAGAAATTAAGGTAAGATCTTAAACCCATAGAAATCAAGCCGTCAATTGTAAATCGACAATGCGTTTTTTACCGTTTCTCATGTAATCCGTGCCATGCACATTGTGTCGGGTACACAGCACGACACCTTTATCAACGCATTGCTGAGCACAAATATTCGGCAAGCGGTCGACATTTTGTGGAAGCTCACGGTAGCAAACACCTCTTGAAAGAAAACCTATTTAGAGTTTTAAGAAGGTACCAGGAAAAATTTAATCGTTTAGTCTTTGAAATGCTGTTCATCAAGAACCTCAAGATTAATTTAAATATCCAGATGGACTCTCAACTTGCTAAACTTTTTAATTACTATAGTTCTTTTCTTACGGTAGAGCTTTTTATGACCCATTGTTATTTTGGTATGTATAGACTGCAACTTGTAAATACATCTTTTTTTGGACATGGTAATGACGTTTATCCGACTTAAAATGTTTGTAAGAAATGTTTTATCGCAGTTTTTTATAGTTAAGAGCGTGTCCACGAGAGCACCGAGCAGTCGTGCTACATGCCATCTCACCGATTTCAATGAAACTTTGCCAGTTTAAAGGGTCTACCCCAAAACTCAAAGAGACGAACTGGTTTCTGTTTTGGTTTTTACCGGGGGGAGATAGACCACCCTCCCCGTTTTTTCTTGGTTTTCACTAAAGAAATGCTTCAAAATAGGCAAATTGTATGAAGCTCTCACTGCGATGGTATTTAACCAATTACTCTGAGGGTTTGCACACATATTTTTACATCCTTAGTTAATGTCCGCAGCAAGCATCAGTCTATTCATGGACGGCTTGTCAATCGACAGAGGCAAACTCACGACTGTGTTTCTAGACTTCTCGATTCATCCAAATATTTGACAACTTTGAGGTCAAATATCTCCCGTTGCCAGAAAGCTGCAACACTAATCCTAATTACCCTTTATAACCCATTGTTTCATCTCTGAAAATCATCAAAAAAGTCTTTGGGCACTACTGTATTTTTGTCTTGGATGCCTTTCAAAATCTGCGACTGGGACAAGTTTCTCTAAACTACACCTGTCACGCAATTCTTGCTCTAAGCGGTCACTTGACCAAATAAACCTACATTATCAGCTCTTCATACAAGATGATTGATCAAGAAAGGTGAAAAATGGGAAAAACTTTCGAGATTTCTGTAGGAATGGAAAATTTCACGTTTAGAGAGATGCATGTAGGCGAAAAATCGAAGAGAAAATCGTAGCGTTTCTTTCTCCTGTCGTTTATTACCTGGGAGATTTGCTAAAATCAGTAGCTATGGCTTTTTACGGTACAAAACATTCATTAGTCTATAATTTGATTGTTTATTCTCATCATTGCTCATTTTAAGAGATTTTAAAGTCGCACGCTGCGTTTTGGTTGACACTATTCCGATTTTCAGTGTGCGACAACTTCGGCTTTTATCGAAGAGAAATTCTGCCCTCTAGCTTGAGAGCAAATATCAATAGTTCTATCAGACTAAAAAATGTGCTTCTATTCCGAAAATAAAATTAAAACAGTGTTGTCACTCACCGCCATCGAACATTTCCATGCAGAACTCCGCTAAGCTAAAATTGCGTGACCCGAAGACTCTCCGTAGGAATTATTCTAGCGCGTTGTTTATGCTGTCTGCTAGATAACAATTTCAAAATAATCTGCAGAGCTCTGTGATTATTTGCATGCTTAGATCGTAAAATATTTGCTTATTTTTTTCAAGCATTCTATTACTACATATAAATCTACATCTCTGTGGATCGAGTGTTGCCGGCGTTTAATTGCGTGACTTATAAAATTTATTAAAAATTAGCCAGCAATAATTTGACCAGTAGGCTTCTTGCAAATTTCTCTTGATGAAATCCCAAGACATAGTCAGTTGTTTTTCGTGAGCAAAGACAACATATATGAAAGAAAAGTGAGATGAAAATGTCTTAATTTATTTGTATTACTTTATTATTTTTTTTTTTTAGCTTAATAGCAGCTGTACCCTCTCATGCAGTCTTCGTCTAAATTTTGCAAGGTCACTTCTAATTTTCTGCCTTGTTCGGTCAGTTTCGACTTTTTCCAAAGTCCACTTGGCTAGTTAGGGATTGTTCATGAGAATTTTACCTGAGGTTCGACCTCGAACGAAGCCATCCCCTATAGAATGGCAAGCCGGTCTTCGTCCATTTCCTCTCGATCTTATCGTAGGCGGATTTTTTTCGTCAGCTTCACTTTGTTTGTCTTTGTTCAGGTGCCTCTGGATGGCAGCCAATGACCGAAACGTCTTGATACATTCCTTTTTTTAGCAAGAATATCTCGCTTTCTTGTTCTGTCTGTGACGGATTGGGTATAGTTCTAGTGTTCTCGCGATGACCTGCGTTCAGAGATCTGTGCGCGTTGCTGCTCAGGTTAATTAAGGCCTGGGTCAAAAATGATTTTCGCCTCCAGTGCCCCCCCAGCAAGGTTCGCGGAATTCGCGTGGACTGCGCGAGTAACCATAGTTACTTGGAATCAAGATCGCGTAGTTCGTGAACGGCATCCGCCATTTTGAAGTGTCGGCTTTGCATTGGTTTTTCCCATCTTCGCTGGTGAATCCGACAATCTAGAGGAAGACATCATACGAAGGTGATAACATTTTCTTTACTATCTTCATTTCCTCAAAAAATGCCATGATATCGCTATCTTAAAGCCAAAGAGAACCCTTTTGAACCTACGAAGACTTCTAAGAACCGCTCTCAACATGTTCATTGATTTCACTGCAAATACAATGCAACATGAATTTATAATATAGCGCTCATTTCTAGAGCTCAATAGCGTTTTACAATGTTTGTAACTTTTGCATAGAAAAAAGTACTATGTTTTGTAACAAATGCATAGAAAAAAGTTTCATTGTGGATATACCATTCAATTTTGAAATTAAATTTAGCTTGATAAATCCTCTATCACATCATGATGTGTAAACTTATGGTGTTTATCAAAATTTAGGCTTTTGAATGCTTTGGAAACAATTTCTCCAAGAAGCAGATGAATTTACTGACAAACGTAATCCCCCAAAGCAGTTGTTAGGTAAGTTTAATTGCTGACATGTAAGATGCAGATTGTCTTGTCATAAATTGTCCCTTGAAAACTAATAGAA